TTGTAATCACAGTTTACAAGAATCTGACCCAACCCAATGGATATTTTCTTCTCCACACGACTGTATGTGAATTTACCGAAACTTTTATCTCTCTTCTCAAGAGCTCCTCGCCGTCGACTTTTGGTCCCTTTTTCCTTCTTCTGTCTTTCCTCCCTCTCCCATGAATTCACAAAGTCATGGATGTGACTACTGTTCCAGACCCATATTTTGTTTCAGATTTCCAAAACACAGAACGATCGTAGGAGTAACACCCAAAAATGAAGGGAATTTGCTCCAACAAGAATAAGCCGCCCATGAAAGACTCAAATGATTAAAAGGAATGAAATTAAAGGATTAGGCAAGAACAAGGGGATTCAGCAAGTCACACCTATACCCTACCAAGTAATCTTAAGGAATTAAAAGGCCTTTTTCAAAGAAATGGAAAGAGAAAAGTTACCAAAAAGATTGTTTTTTTCAATTTCTAAAGAACTCTCTTAGATTTTTAATTCCTGCCCAGAGTGAATTTCAAAAGGCTCAAAAAGGAAAAAAGGACTAAAAGTGATGAATAAATTTTTAAAAATTATTGAGGTTTTTAAGAAAAATAATAATAAAATATTCCAAATATGGTAAGGAGTTTTCTACCTTTTTTATTCCCTACTTACTTATGGCCAGGGTCTTAAGGTTATGAGAAATCTTATCATAAATAGTAACCCTACAATCATGCACCCAATAACTTAAAACCTTGGGAATACTTGACCTAAGTCTTACTTGGTCTCGATAAGGCGTCTCTGGAGATGGATCATAGAGAAACCTTTGGTTCTAGTACCATTACTTTCATGACTTCATTTTTGAGCTAGAACGACGCATAGATTGCCACTAGAGTTGACTCGATAGTATAAAAAGACGACAACGTTTTTACATTAAAAAAATAATAATAATAAATAATTTTAAACATAATATACAATATCTTTAAGTTATATCAAAAATAGAGTTCATAACAAAACTATGTTGACATGGATTAAGGTCTCCAAGTTTCTCAAATTTTAGTCCCTGTGTTTTTTAATCCGTTAAGAGAACTAGGGCCACACCTCTGGTTGTCTTGTAAATTTCTACTCGCTCGGATTACTAGAGACATTCCATCCTAGGCTACCGTCTGGCCAAACTGATACCTCACCCTAGTCTTGATTTGTTTTATCTACCTACTCTCTAAAGAGAGAATTACATATTTAATAACTTGAAGTTAATATATAGATATTCATGCATACAGTCACACGTATACTTAATGGGGCGATAAACATCCATCAAGCACTGGGAGGCCAACGATAACATCCATCAACCTTTCAGACACATGAAGAAAAGTTCGCCATTAGAAAAATCTGAACTAGCAAGTCTTATTTTCAAATCTCTGCTTACGTTAATTTGGTAAAGTTTCATTTTAATTCTTAAATCTCGCTCGGAAGATGCATGAGCACACAATAAGCATGAGGTCCCAATATCTTTCCATTTTAATTATCCTTAATACAACTACACTAGCGTCTTCTTCCTATCATAACATTTTTCATATCATATCTCATAACTTTTATCATATCATTTATCATTATTCATACGTATGCCGGGGTTGTATTTCATGCTAGTTGTCATTTCTCATGTTAATCTCATCAAACATATAACTCATATTATATAGTTTTTATGCTTTCAAACACAACAATCCATATCGTGCACATATCATATCATATATCATAACAGTCACATAATATATCCCAAGAACGTTTTCAACAAATCAGATCATAGCATATCACATCGTAAAGCATATCAATTTATCAAATACAACATAACAATCACATTGCATAGTATTTTCGTACTATTTCATAACGTCATACATATATGATCTATGACACGTGCAAAACCACGAGCACGTGTCATCAAATACCATACTCTTTGTGATTTTTGCTCCATTTCTCTCCCCTCGATTCTCATTGCATTTTTTATGGTGTCTGGACCGTTGTGGCTTGATTTAATGTACTTTCTAACCTCACGATGTCACTAGTCTATCTAAGTGTATAAGGATGTGGATTCGTTTTGATTTCTCAACTTCCCCAACTCTCGGATCTCGCTGATGAATTTACGATGTGTTTCTCTCTCTTCCCTAAACTCTTTCTATCGCTTGCTTGTTCTATTTTTCCATGTAGGTAGGCTTTGGGGTTTTTGGTAGGAGTTGGGGTCATGTGGGTGCCGGGTTTCTCTGGTTGGACTAGTCGTGGTTGTTTTTTCGGGTTCCTCTCTCTCTCTCTCTTCAATTTTATCTATGTTTTCCCTTTACATTTGTCTAGAGCATATGGCACAAGATGGGGAGAAGTATGGAGTTATTTTTGGTGAGTCGTAAGGATCGGGAAGGCATGTCCAAGAATTCTGGAATCTCATTTGAATTTTTGCAGGTTTTTTGGCGACCGAGCCAAATGTGTATATATATATAAATATAAATATATATTTATTTTTGTATCGTTACAAGATCAGTCAACAACACTAGGGTCTCACCCTTTAATCGTCTATAACAAATCTTCTGTGTTCAAACTACTATAGGCGTTCAATCCTAGGTTACCATCTAGGCAAACAGATATGCTCTCTCTAGTCTTAATTTGTTTCATCTACTTACTCATCTACTTACTCTTTGTGGAGAGAATCACACATTTAATCACTTGAATTTAATATACAGATAATCTTACTTATAGTAACAGGTATGCTCCATGGGGAGATAACATCAATGAAGGGCATGAGTTAATTGAGAAGTTTTCAACATTTATGTTCTCAAGTGATTTTGTGCATAATTTTCTTCTTAAAATAGAGGGAGAGAATGAGTGTTTGAGGTGCACTATTGAAATTGACTCCACTAGTTAATCCTAAAATAATTTAATCTAACTCAACTAGTTAAGCCTAAAATAATTTAATCGAACTCAACTAGTTAAACCTAAAATAATTTAATTTTACTCCTAAAATAATTTACTCCTAATTTTTCTTAAAGTAATTTAAATTTACTTCTACTATTAAGCCTAATTTTATATAAAATAATTTAAATTTACTTATAATAATTTGAACGGACTAAGTTTTACTATGCATAAATACTTCACATTTAACTCTAAAAATTTAAATTAGGTAAAAGGTAGTTACACTAACTTTAAACGCTTCTGAAAAATTGAAATTAGGAGAAAATGGTTCGAACGTATCAGACAGAAGCCAAATCAGGCTAAATGCTAGCCTTGAGCCGTCAGAAAGTGTAATATCCGACTAGCTTGACCGTTCACGTGGGATGCTAAAATGGAGTGAGGGATCTCCCTTTTGTAGTGGAGGCCAACCCCCACTTCTCAACATTTTTTAGACTACCCATTTTTATTCTAATATTTTGGGAGATTAAACCAGCCCAAAATTTTCATTATATCTCAACTTATCAATCGAATTTTCATAAAATGTCTATTTTCAAAATTTTAATATGGTTTATAAATTAAAGTTAAAAAAAACAATGATTTTTTTTTTAATTTTTTTTTTTTTTTAATTATGGACAATGGGCTAATGTTTCTTAACAAGAGAATAATAAAATTGAAAATAGTTACTCAACACACATAGGTAATATAATTTTAACAAGAAACAAAAAAAAAATCCTACAACTTTCATATATCTTATTAAAAGTTTCACTTGATATATTGTAGCTTCACGGTCTTTTTTGATGTCATGATCCGATTTTCGAGGCTTCGAATGTTGGACCCTACACAAAAGACGAAGACAAAAGGAAAAAAAAAATAAAAAAAAAGTAAAATAAAATAAAAGATAAAATTTTGATAAAACTTTAATTGAAATAAATACAAGCTAACACTAAAATTAAATAAAAAGTTATATCCAAAAAGAAACATGGAAAAATTGGTTGGGGATATAGTTTACCGTAGAAAAAAAAAATGAAAGACTCAAATACAAAAATGAACTGATGCTCTAGAACGACCCCCTCCGTGACTGTACAACTCTTAGACGCTACTCCACCTCAACCAACAGCTTGTGAGACCTAAACGTAAAAAAGGAAAACGGGTGAATATACAAATATACTATGAAACCAACCTATTTGTAGGCTCTTATCTATTTGTAGACTCTTATCTTAGCCTTGATCTAGAAAAAGACCACAAACTTAACACTAGGCTCGAGGGGTATTATTCTTGTTGTGTTTATCTTAGATAGCTAGCTTAATCTACGCAGTGGTAATCGATATATGAAGTTAACGTGCAACCTTAACGATTTCTCTCTATCAAGTTGGCACAATGAGTGCTAGCCTACTTATCATCCAAAGGTGGTTGTTGATAAAACCATCCAACAACTACAAACTCGTACTTAAAAATAATT